TCGCAATGGCATAATAATAGCGGTAACGTTAAACTTTATTGAAAGAGAAATTGTACAAATGCGAAGAAAAATTCACGTATCAAAAGTTAAAAAAAAAATGGTTGTCCTAACAAAATTAATTTCAGTAAATATCCCCGACGATGTTCCATACATTTGATTTGGAAAGGTAAAGCGTGCGCTTTTCATTACTATTGTAGAGAGACGTATAAAGAATTTCATTGTATGAGCTATGTTTTTCTTTTCCTGTTAAAAAAAAACCTTAAGCTTACTGTTTAAATGGCTTGCTTGTTTCGCTGAATTTTTAAAGTTTTCAATTAAATTTGTATAGACGCGTGCATGGGAAAAGTAGTTTTTGCTTGTCACAGCTGTAAAATTATTTTATAATTTCATTGAGAATTGCAGAAAATTTTAAATGAAGTGCCCTTAGCGTGAAACATTCTAGTATCTTCTCACCCTTAGACAACATAATCGTTCACTAAATTAATGAATGAATGATCAGTTTGAGCTTTGACACTGTGTGCACTCAAGTAAGATCCTTAGAAAGCTTTTAGAAGCTTTTCACGCGGTATATGTTTTGGACATGTCTGCACTAAATACTGGTTTGAGCTTCGAAAGTTCATTTGTTTTATTTCAAACGATGACTAGCGCTTTCACTGTTTCTGTATGAGTTTCATTCCAGGTTAACAAGGACAATGAAATATTTGGCCTGAACGCGTCACAATGGAAGGTAATCATAGCAAAAGTAGACGCCAATAAAGTTACGCAGGAAGACCTCTTTTCGGCTATAGTGCGCTGGTACAAATACAATGCCGGCGTGCGACAACAAAACTTACCCGATGTCATTGGTTCGCTAAGGCTAGACGAATTCGAGACGGAATTTATTGAGAAGCAAATTAAACCATTACCCGGCTGTGAGCGCCTGGCCATAGAAGCGATTAAGAAACGTGGAGATTCCATCTCTTGGCTAGCTGTACAAAATTTCGGAGAAGTTAGTATGGCCTTAAATTCTTATGCGAATACAATTATTAAACAATTTTTGGATAATACAGGATTGGTTGGGTGTCAAGGATATATTACGTTTTAACCAAGCTAAGGAAATATGGGAGAAAGCTACCAGATTGGAAATAAAAAGATATGGCTTTGATACAGCTTTCATTGAAAATTGCTTCGTTTTTATTGGTGGTCGTAGTATTAATGGACCCAGTAAAGACGTTGTCAGCTATAATTTGCTAACTAAAGAATGGACTACACTATCATCAATGCAAGAACATCGTAGTAGTGTTTGTGTTGTCGTTTTGAATAAGTACATCTATGCAATTAGTGGAAAAAATAAAAGAGGCGATGCATTAACTAGTGTAGAAAGGTAAGCGATGTTCACTTCAGTGATGTGGTTGGTATGTACGAACACCTACATATCTACTCGTATGTGCCTGTAAATATAAAGTGAGCTTTAAAGTTCAAGGTTACTTGAGAAAACTGCCCTTAATCTTTTACTTAGATTCGATTGGTCAACTGGTAGATGGCAATATGTGGCTAATATGCCACGTTTTGCTGAAGCTGCTACAGTTTTAAATGGCGACATATATGCATTTGGCGATATAGACGTTGCACGCTATAATTCAGCTACCAACAGATGGGAGCAACGCAGGTCAATGTTGGATAGACGCTACTCACCAGCTGTAAGTATGAGCATTAATTTGTATTTGAGTGATTTTTGGTTTTGGCAGAGAGTAAAACTATCGAGGTAAATATATCGACGACATTGATTGTTATAGAAAACGATAACGATCAAGTTCTGAACTCATTGAAAACGACGAGCTACGGACCACAGCTTCCAATTTGTCATCTTCATTATCTAAACGCTTTCTCGTTGGCGACATGATTTCTTTGAACGCGGCAGTGACATCATGAATTTGTATGAGTTTGACATAAAAGAAGAGGAAGAACCTTATCTGTCACCAGAAAAATAGAAATAGATCTAATCTGGAAACAACCACAGCCGTCGCGTAGCCCGGTCGTCCCCAACATAATTATCTACATAAGAGTGCGTGTTAAAATAATTTGACAGCTGTGGTTTGTAGCTCGTCGTTTTCATTGTGTTCAGGCTATTAATGTTTAATAACGATACAAGAGTCGATTGCGATTAAATTGGTACAACTTACATTTGTCGAAGAGGGAAATTTCGAAGCACACGAGTTATAATTTAAATTTTGCTCTGAGAAGGTCTTCAAGTAATTTTTAAAGCCATGCAGCGCCCTCTTTTAAAATTGCCAAAGCGAGATATAGAGTAAAAAACAAGGCAATCAAGTTTGAATTACAAAAATAAGCATTTAGTGATTATTTTTCCTCCTGTGGCATTCGTTTTTACATTTCCCTCGAGGAAAGTCTATGTCCTTATTTCTCAAGGGTATTTTTGTGTTAGAACTTAATATCGCCCTTAATCTTTCATGAAATTCAATGATTGAGACCTCATTTAGAGTAAAGGAAGCCCGGGTACGTGCGACAAATTGTCAGGTTATTAAAATGGAGTTATTTCTTTAAGAAAAGTTTTCGGCGAATCCATCTCCATACTTTCCATAATACATACTCTGTAAAATTTAATGATTGAAACACCGAGGTTTAGGTAAATAATATAAAGTTGTAAAAGGTTGCCACCATTTTAAATTTTGATATGCATATATTAGGTAAAATGTTTCGACTAGTTTTACGAATGAAAGGCATTTAAATAAACTCTAATTCAGAAATAATAATTTGGAAGAGGGTTGCCAACTATATAAAAATTTAAAGCTCTTTACATATAAAACAAAATTGCTTATGTAAGACCGAGCGTAACTCTTGAACGGATCCCCGATGTGAGCTGTATTTTTTGTTGTTGAAAAATTGAAAATTTCGGAAAAATTGATTTTCCATAGATATAAAATTTTGATCGTATTGCTACATTTCAATTTTAAAATTGCATCAATGTTAACTTTTGCGGTCATGGCTCGATTGCTGCGAAGATAGTTGGAATTCCTCGAAAATAGGGGTATTCACCAAATTGAGCAAGTGTCGTGACCTGGTACTCGGGTAAAAGAGCTGATTAGCTCAAAACAACGAAAGTTGTCAAAGTTGCTGCTTGAGCTAATCTGCTCTTTTGCCCGAGTGCCAGGCCAATTTCTCAATTGGTTGAATATCCCTAATGTAAATTCATTGTTCGAAAACCATTATGAGGCCGATCAGATCAACTTTTTTTTTACTAAATAATTTCATTTCATTTCATTTCATTTCATTTA